CCGGTTTGTCCTATATACTCGGCTCCGCATTTGAGGGGAATCGAGTAAACTTTCTCTGTGCAGCAGGTCCGGAAAAGCGTGGCGTGCTTTTTTTCGCAAGCCGGCTTGGCTTCTTGTCGGTTGATCACGTTGCACATGGTTGCCGATTTGTATCTACTGGAAAAGAAAACTTTCGTGTCATTGCGTGATGCAATGTAACGGATACGATGGGAAGCATTATGAATGTATGGTATGCTGGCTATCCTTCGACTGAAAGGCGTTTTTGTAGTTGCCTTTGGGTTAATAAGTTGGTGGAAAACGGACACGAGGCGTTGCACCGGATATCCGGACCTCAGGAGTCGTCGAGTTTGGCTCTTTATGCTATCTGTTGCCGAATAGTGACAGGATTTCGTTTTAGCTGATGTGATTAACGTCTTGATGATACCTATCTTAACAGTCTTTGAATGAGCACTCTCAAAAGGCAGCACCGGCTTTTCTGAACGCTGACTGAACGCCCAGCAAACGCCTTCGTTGTTTTTTTTTTTTTTCAATCGCAGGTCTAGAAATTGTAGCCCTTCCGAGGATGGATCTTTCTTTTTGAATTTTAGTTTGCCTTCTGCACTTTCGAACGAGGCAACGATTACCTCGACTTTATTGGCTATAGGGTGAATGATCTTATCATTCACCCTATAGCTTATCAACGCCCTAGAACCGGTTCATACTGGCGCTCCTAACTTAGACTTCTTTTCCCTAGACATAGAATATATGTACTATAATCTGGACATTCCAACTCTTCTCGAATCCGTAGAAGAAGCCATCACTGAACACGGAATCTGTAGCTTCCAAAACTCATCCGGAGTATCACTTTCCGGCTTCCTCGAGCTTCTGCAACTCTACCTAAAATCAACAATGATCGAGTAAGAAGGAAAAATCTGGATGCAGAAATAAAGGGTGTGTATAGGGTCTTGCCTTGCACCCATACTAAGTAAAATCTACCTGTCTTATGTCGATAGAACCATACAGGTAAAGCTCATGAACACTAGCCCCGAATGCACCGTAGTCCGCTACGTTGATGACTACCTGATCATTCACCCTATAGCCAATAAAGTCGAGGTGATCGTGGCCTCGTTCGAAAGCGCAGGAGGCAAACTAAAATTCAAAAAGGAAGATCCATCCTCGGAAGGGCTACAATTTCTAGACCTGCGATTGAAAAAATCCAACGAAGGCGTTTGCTGGGCGTTCAGTCAGCGTTCAGAAAAGCCGCTGCTCCCTTTTGAGAGTGCTCATTCAAAGACTGTTAAGATAGGTATCATCAAGACGTTAATCACATCAGCTAAAACGAAATCCTGTCAACATTCGGCAACAGATAGCATAAAGAGCCAAACTCGACGACTCCTGAGGTCCGGATATCCGGTGCAACGCCTCGTGTCCGTTTTCCCCCAACTTATTAACCCAAAGGCAACTACAAAAACGCCTTTCAGTCGAAGGATAGCCAGCATACCATACATTCATAATGCTTCCCATTGTATCCGTTCTATTGCATCACGCTATGACACGAAAGTTGTCTTTTCCAGTAGATTCAAATCGGCACGCATGTGCAACATGATCAACCGACCAGAAGCCAAGCCGGCTTGCGAAAAAAAGCACGCCACGCTTTTCCGGACCTGCTGCACAGAAAAAGTTTACTCGACTTCCCTCAAATGCGGAGCCGAGTACATAGGAAAAACCGGCCGATGTATCAATGACCGCTTAAGAGAGCACGAAAACGAGGCCACTTCAAGAACCGACAACCCCATTCATCCGATCGCGGTTCACGCGAACGAATGCATTGGATGCGCGCCTGACTTCGCAGGATCCAAGACAAGAAGGGGACACCGCAATCGCCACGGACGTGAAATCATCGAATCCTTTCTCATCCAGAACGCAAGAAACAACGTTTCATCGGCCTCAGTAACCTCATCAAGACGGGAATTAGAATTCATTAGGCCTGAACTTGAAAAATATCGCAACTCCCCTTAAATACACACCACCACGGTAGCTCTGCCCGTGCCTCTTGGTTTTCCCTTTCTATCTCCTATCACAGTTTCCATATCCCAGTTTTCTTTTCCCTTTATCCCTTTTCCATCTCCCAGTTTTTCTTTTTTCGTCCCCCATATCACCCTTTCCATCTCCCAGTTAGCCTTCCCCGTTATCAACCTATCTTAGTCGGGGTCTCGCTCAGGGTACAATGTCTTTGCCCAAAATAAACGTCGTTGCTGAATGAAAGAAAGTGGTTGTCCTGTGCTTGCCCTCAGTGTTTTATTCTTTCAATTTTATGTATGCCCTGTCCGCTCCGCTTCATTCGAGAAATGCCCCCAAATCATACCTTTTTTTTTTTCGTCAATATAAAAAATTAGACCTTTTCAGCCTGCTTGATTTTAGATGAAACCACCGATATATATATATATATACATATATATATATATATAGAGAGAGAGAGAGATTTATAAATATATAAATATGGAAATCGTGCGCAGAAATACGTCGCGGTTACTTCTGTTTTTCAATTTAAACGTGGATTATGCTGAGTAAAACATGGGATCTTCATAATTCCCGTTTTTGGTTGACTTTTTGGCTGGGCAGTTCCTTTGGAACTCCAAATACTAGCCTTCCTGCATCTGTCTTGTTTTCTCTGTATTGACAGCGGAGCAAACGCTATGCACATTTTAGGCCAATCGTGTTTCTGGTTACGGTAACGTGACTACGGTCTCCAGGCGGGTGAATAGGCAGAGCACGGCCCCTGCTTGAAGGCCGGTGCTTGGTAGGCCACTCAGATGACCAGCCCTGGGCTACTGGGCTATCCAGTTTGGGACGAACTCTCAAAAGGATATAAGTGTGACAAATCCTCTAGCTGTGCTCACTTTCTGTATGCCCCTTGAAGAGAAGCCTTTTGTGACCGTACCCCCCCCCCCCCCCTTGCCGACCTTGAAGGAGCGCCTGCTTTGGTACTCCTTCTCTTTCTCTCTCTCGCTCTCTGCCTAAGCTGAAAGCATGGCACAGGTTAGAAGGTGCGCTCTCGTCGCACCAGTGAACCCTCTGATTTTTATCAACTGATTCCGCTCCTTGCGCTAGGATAACGGTTGGAGCGTGATCAGGTAGTAAAAGATAGACGTATGACACACTAGCGGTTCCCAATCCGTGAATGCCTGCTTGCTTTCCCAGTTTCCTGTGGGCTGAGGCCTGTGGGGATGCCGTGGATTTTAGTGGTAAATTAATCGTCCTCGACAACATATTTGCAGTTTACCAAAGCTATCAGTGTTCAAAAAGTCCTACGCGTATATCGGCAACGACGATTTCTTCAGAGAAGCCACCGAAATTGTTGTGATTTGGTTCAGTTCGGCAAATGAGAGCTTGTGCCACATCGAGTTGAACCTGCACGGAGCCCTTCGTTCTCGCTATTAATTTTGTGCTGTTTTGTGCCTGTGTCAACCTATATATCGGATTACATCTTTCAAGTCAATAACTCTTATGGTAACTGCGTTGCAACCTACCTCTTGGCAACGATTGACCGTTCTTCTTCGGATACTCTAACATATCGCCTCTAGAATTAAACAGTGTATTCTCCCAGCCCCGGAGAATAATTCCCCCAAAATTCTACCGGCAGAAACCTTCCATTAGCTGTCTGAAATCATATAACAACTGTCGATAGAATACTGACTTCCTGATTCTCCCGGCATTACGTGGAAACAGGTTTCCTAGGCGACGTTTCGTGGATACACGTTTCTTGAACACACCTTTCATCGACACTAACATATCGCCAACACTAGTCACCTGAGTTCCTCCCGGTAGGCACATTTCGTCGCGCGTGTATCACTGGCCTACCGACCCGTTCACGCAGTTTCGCGGCGACAGTCTGCGACGGTTTATTACAAAAATGTTAACCTACCTAGCCCACCTGCGAAAGCCATTTGCGGCGAGAGTATGGAATTTCTTACTACAAAAAAAACAAACAAAAAAAGACAGGTAACCATAACTTTATAAAATAAGTTGTCGATGAAACATAGCGTCTCAATGAAACAATCTGTCGATGTAACGTCGTTCGGTGAACTGGTTGCCACCGCCAATGAGAGGCGTCTGCCGGAAAACTTTCGGGGAAATCATTTTTCCAGCTGCCGGGAGAATAGGCACTATAGCCTAAAACTACCCTGGTTCTTGTTTCTTTGCAATCTTCTCAATTGTATAAAATATTAGTAGCACCTCTTCGCATTTCACAGATCGCTTGCACTTTTCTAGTTATCTGTAGAATAGGCTTTGAGTAATAAACTTCCACGAAACTTTAAGAACAAAATTTATGTTTTTTCCTGCCAATTTTCACACACCTCTGCGAGTACATTTTTTTTTTCTGGTTTCCTTCGTGTTTTCAAAAGGATTATTTAAGTTTGGAATGTCTTAAATAAGTGTAAGGTATCCAACTTTCCTGCCGGTACCCATTTAGGGCTAACGAATAATGTGCCTGAACATCCGAGGGCATCAAACGGGTATTGTTTCAAACGGCACCCGTTCTCATGATCATGATTGACGCAAACATAACGAAAGTCTGCCGTCCATTTGATTCAAACGGGTCGACCAGTTTGCCACCCGTTTGAATTTCAAAAGATTTTTTTTCTTAGCGTCATCCTCCTTGTTTCTTCTTGCCCAGGATTATTATCGTTATTCTTGTCCAGCTCGCTTGCACCTCTCCATTATATGAACTATTTCAACTTAATTTAGAATGGTATGCACGAATCTACATATGAACGTTAGTTCGCATGCCAGATATTCTATAAAAAAAACTTGTTTGCTAAAAAACGTTGAAGTTAAACTAAGGTTTAGAGGGATTCACTAAAACGCGTATTTCTGCTCGGTGGCATAACTGATGCTGTGATACGCTTATAATTAAAGTTTGCATGACAGCGGCCATGATTAAAGCCACAACATCAATTTAAAGTTAGTGTAAGTTTAAAAGTGTCATGTAACTTTTGGAACGCTGAACTTGACCATACCTTTGTTACAATTCTTGCAACTCCTCCAACGCATTTTGAGGCGTTCTTGTCCTTCGCCGAGCAGACTCCCCCATACTTGGTGGTCTCTTGAATGTGCGAGTGAACGTCGTTGGTGTGCAGAATTGTGAGCGTAAACGTCTCGCTTTCCGATCCTAACGACACGCTCACATTGCTTGCCAGAAGGATGGCGAACAAGCGCCATTTCTTTAGAATGGCGAGCATCGCAGCTGCTTTTTGTGTCGAGAAAACAAGTGGAAATGTTCGTGGCGCTCGATGCGTAAGCCAATGCAAGTGCAAATGCTGCCGGCGATGCTGCACAAAGCGGACTCTAAAAATAAAAATGATTTCTAAAGGTCGAGGCAGTTTCGCAATCTATTGAAGCAAACGCTTTTGCCAAGTTGACACGTGTTCAAACATATAAAAAGATGATGCGTGAGCATCGTCGATTTATGTTTGAAATTCATCGCATATTTATACCAGAACGCGAACGAATAAAATACACTTTTCTGTTAGATAAATACAAATGACGTCTTATGTAATATCACCCCTGCGATTGTAATTTCGCCTGTATTTGTTCATTACTAGCATATACGAGAAAGATATTGGCAAAATGTTTCGCCCACACCGCTGGATTTTCGGCACCTATATGATTTTCCAGTATATCGTTAAAATCGTCCAAAGGAAACGCTTGCCTTGGTTCTGTTCTAAGTTACAAAACATACAACAAATACCACAACCAATGATAAAAATGAAATAGAGACCTATACTTTGTTCACTCCGAAGCTCACCGTAGGCTGGGAACTACTCGGTCGCCATACTAATCGACCCCCTTTTCTAACCCCCGAAGCCGCTGCCTGCTCGTGTGTCCGAGGCAACGACCTTGAGTCTTACCTTAGAGTGGTAAACCCGAGCCCACTGCCTGGAGCGGAAATGGCATCCTCCCGGTTTCCGCCATCTTACTTGTTTGCCACATTAGTGATCCCTTGACGTTAAGATGGCTGCGCCTAGAGGCGGGCCAGATCACGGTCACCAGATGGGCACTCTGGGGGGTTGTGTTCCAATCTTACTCAAATGAATCCGAGTTATTCCAGCGGATCAAGTCACGTGACAAGACAGATAGCAGCAATGCTGGACGCGGGTAGGTTTTCGAACGCAACGGGTACAATACCTTCACCGAGGAGTAAGCTAGAAGTTGCGTTCGGTTTACTTGGACCTCCTGCAGCGGTGCAGAAAAGTGTAGGGCAGTCTACTTGCGGTATGTGCACTGAGATACAACCGGAAGTACACCACACTACACTTTTCTGCACAGGCAGAGGCAGGCCTCTGGGGGCAGCCATCTTAACGTCCCGTGATTCTTCGGAATAAAAAACAGCGCGGAAAGACGAGGGCCTGACAAAGAAGTGACACAGACGTAGCGCTGACTTACAACGCTGACTTACAAAAGAGTTTTAAGTCAGCGCTACGTCCGTGTCACTTCTTTGTCTGGTCCTCGTCTTTCCGCGCTGTTTTTAATTCCGAAGTATGTACCAACTCGCCCAAACCTCAACTTTAGTCCCGTGATCACTAGTCTGGCAAACAGGCAAGATGTCGCCAACCGGGAGGGTGCCGTTTTTGGCCGCTAATTTACCGCTCTAAGTTTTTTTGTTTTTTTTTGTGGATTTTATTTACCTGCAAAGGGGGCTGAAATAAAGGCATGATGCCAAACAGCACTTTTGCCCGGGCCCCTGCAGTTCATACAGCGGGAATAACATTTCAAACAAGTCACAGTGATAATAAATAACAAGACAGCCATCGTCATGAAAACAAATAGAAACAATTATTTTAGAAACATCTGAAAGCACATGAAATGCAATGACGCAACTCAAACAACTATACACAAGTGGCACTGCTTGAACAATGTGGGGCGATATGCTTTTCATAACCCAGAAGTAAAATAAAATTAAAATAAAGATAAAAATAGACACCGATTTTACATATCTACTAAAAATTTATAAACAAGGATTTCTATAAAAAAAAGCGGAAACAAGCAAAATTAAAACTAAAAATCAGGCTACGTAACCAAAAAATGCGGATACAAAGTTTTATATACGTTAGATTTTATTGAAAATATATATAAATATATATACATGTCTTAAATAGATTAAAATGCGAAACCACTGCAAACCAGAGCTCCTCTGCAGTCTTTTTCGAACTTTGGAAAAGTGGAACTAAAATTAACATCAATTCTGAGGGAATTTAATAATTTAGTAATCATGTACGATAATCTTTGCCTGCCACAATTTGTTAGTATGCTTGGGATTCTAAGTTTCGAGTCTCGTAATATGTGTGCACTAGAATGAGGTGTTTGTGTCAAATATAGGTTGTTTTTGTAGACCCACTGAAATAATTTAAAGCGATATATCAGGTCTGCCTTCAATATATTATATTTAACAAAGAGTGGTTGAGTGCTCAAATTTCTGACATTGCCTCTGTAATGTTCGCAAATACGAAGAATTTTTTTCTGAAGTATGATTAGTTTGTTGTAGTTGGATGCAGTGGTCCTACCCCAAACAAACATAGCATAACTGATTTTAGAATAAAAGAGAGAATAATACAACTTTATTTTAAGCCAAGTGGGTATTCAATGTTGCATTTTATATATAATACCAATAACTCGAGACAGCTCTGCCTTCAGTCTATTTACATGAGTGAACCATGTGAGCTCTTCGCTAAACCAGACGCCCAAGAACTTTTGGTCTGCAACTTGTTCTATAACGGTGTTTTTTTAAAATATGATGTTAATAGAGCTGCTGTCTCGCTTACTAACAGGGTTGAAGATTATGTTTGTATTTTGCCTTATTTGTGTTTAGCTTCAATCTATTTACTCGTAACCAATTTGATAAATTAATGAGGTAGGCATTGCAAGTATTTTCTAGGTATTCTTTAGTCACACCAGTAAAAAAGACATTTGTGTCATCCGCATACATTACTAACTCAGGGGGGCCTGGTATTATCGTTATGTCATTCGCGTAATCTAGAAATAATAAAGGACCTAGAATGGAGCCTTGAGGAACACCGTGCTGTATTCTCAATTTACTATATGCTATATTGTTAATAGAGACGTACTGCTGACGACTTTGTAGATACCTTTCTATTAGATTTAGCGCTATTCCTTTTATACCGTATCTCTCAAGTTTTTTTATGTTTTTTTGTTGTAGGATATCATGTTGAACATTATCGAAGGCTTTTTTTTAAATCTAAAAACAAACTAAGCGTGAGTTTATTGCTTTCAATGTTTTCTACAATTTTGTCCTTAATGACAAGGGGTGCTTGCTCAATTGATTTGTGTTTCTGAAAGCCATATTGCTCTTTCGTTGTTATGTCATACTTCAGAAAAAAGCTAGTTAATCTATCATTGATCACGCGTTCATAAAATTTTGAGAATATTGGCAGAAGAGAAATTGGTCTGTAATTATGAATATCTGTTGCTGCACCTCCCTTGTATACAGAAATAACTTTTGCTAATCTTAGTTCGCCAGGAAAGTCACCGCTTACAAGCATTTTGTTTTTAACGTCAGATAGTAATGGGCTCAGCAGAGATCCTCTATATTTAATCGGCAGAGCCTTTATTTCGTCATCACCGGCGGCAACATTATTTTTAAGCGGTCAATAATTTTATTAGCTTCCTTTGGCGTCGTCGGAGCTAGCATTATAGATGCAGACGGATTGGCGGTCGTTGTATATTCAGCCGTGTAGTCATGTTGCTCAGCGTACTTGCCGATATTAACAAAGTGCTGATTTATCTTGTCGGCAAGTGCTTTACCAGAGACACTTTGATTATCTATTAGGATATGTTCCACGTGGTCGTTTGCTTGCTTTCTATTAGTGAGATCGTTTACTGTGTCCTATATCTCGCTATGGTCACCATGATTGCGTTCGAATTTAGCTTGATAATATTCGCACTTCGCCTTTTTTAAGCCTGAATTCGATTTATTTCTTATCGTTTTAAACTCAGCGAGCATGTTTAGGTCACGATGCCTGATAAAAGTGTGGAACTTCTTATCTTTATCTCTCATTTTTTTCAGCAGATCAGCAGTCACCCACAGGTTTCTTCTTTTTTTTTTTCTTATTTTTGTTCCCTTAAAGAAAACCCTTTATCATAACAGTTTTTAAGTTTTACTATAAAGTTTAAGCTCGTTGGTCCGAGGGCGTGATAATATGACGCAATATAAATGCATAACTGATACAACGCGGGCGTACCTCCTTCTACCGCATTGTCAGCTTAATTATAAACAAAGCATAGTAGTGAGCGAATAAACAAAAAAAATGGATATACCTAAAAAAACCTAGGTCACTGAAGCCAAACTGTAAATTTTAGAGTATGTAAGAATAGCGTGTGTAGGTTGCTGATATAGTTCTGAGCAGCGTAATTAGGGTTTTGTTGCAGTTTCTTTTAATCTGCGGAACATAATAAGCTTGATTTAGTGTATTTTCAGAGTCCTTCAATACACTAATGGCTGTGATGTATTTAGAGACGTATGGTTGGTGGCGCTCGCTTCGTGGCACTTTCTCCTCCCTCATGAATAGGCCTTGGCACCCACGTGTGCGACTCAACTAACCCTACGCTACGCAACAGCCACGTGCCCGGCGTCGTTCCCGTTCTCGTAATAAAGTTTGTCAACCAAAGTCATATCATGGTGTCAGAAGCACCCGCAACCACGGACGGCACTCATACTTCTGCCACGTAAGCCAACAACGATGGCAAGCGCCTTTTTGCAACCTACACCGCCTTTCGAACCCGGCGACAACCCAGCCGTCGCGTGGGAAGAATGACACCCAGCATTCACCATTTACGAAATGGCTATTGAATTCACAAAAAAAAGAAAACCGACGCAACCAGAAAAGCACTCCACCTTCATATCCTCGGATCATCAGCGCGCCGTATACAACAAACGTTTCTCGAAGTAAACGGATCGGACTCCGTCGCGGTGATTCTTCAGCAGCTCAACGATTTGTGCACGCCGTACAAAGCCGTGACCCAAGCAACGGCAGAGTTTAACACGATGGTGCAGTAACCAGCGCATGTCATCGACGACTATGTGACAGCGTTGAAGTTACAAGCACGTAAGTGCGAGCTTGGACAACAGGAGAAGCGCCTACTCGGCGATCGGGTCATCGTCAGCATCAGAGACGATACGCTGCGGGGGCGACTTTACCGAGAACCGAAATTGACACCAGACAAGATAATATCA